AACGTTTTTTGTTGATGTACCCCATTAGCCCATCAGTTGTTTCTCAAGTACCCCTTATATTTTTGTATGTAAATTTTATAATTACTGCGTTAGATGTATACAGCCTTTATAACTGAGCGCCATAAGAAAACTCTAACTAACTAACTATAACTAAAAGTGAATTACTTATTTTACTTTAATAATAATAAATTTAATCAGGTACATACATTTATTTATTATTATTTGACAAGTACTGTATATTACATAAAGTCACAAAAGTCATTTCAATACATGCATAAATTATAATTCCTAAAAATATATAATTATAGTTAATGATAAAGAAAATTTAAATTATTCTACAATACTGTACCGTAATTTCTAACAAAATTTAATTGGATATTTGTCGTGATAAATCTTCAGCAATTTATTCAAAATTTGGTTCCCACGTTGTTAAATAGAGATTATAATTGTGTACTGACCTTGAAAGCAATGGCTGCGAATTTATAACGTGCAGAACAATACACGAATCTTTCAATTTTTGTAACAAATGTAACGTCTAAATTTGCAAAATATCAAGTAATGCGTGCATGCAGTGACACGCATTGCATGGTTGGGGTACGATCCAAGCCTCGTTATTCCTAATACCAGTAGTCCAGTAAAAACACAAAAAGCCCCAATCTTATTGAGCAATAATTATAGAATAAAAAAAAATTTTTTTCTATTCTAAAATTAATGCTCGGTTAAACCATAATTTTACTAGACTACAGGTTCACTTGGCACTAATGGCACAAATAGACAGGCATATCAAGTGGATAAACAAGTTGTTTAGACTGTTAAAAGGGAAATCAGTGTTTACACTGGGATATTTTAAAACAAGTTTTTGTTGTTTCTTGTTTCTTGTGTTAATAATTTACAGCAAATTGATGAACATAAGCCATTTTATAATGAAAGTTAGATGTACCCCTTCGATTTACACTCGTACCCCTAGGGGTACATATACTCCCGGTTAAGAACCACTGTGCTAAAACATTCATTTGGTTCTTTGTGTAGATTATGCAAGTAACAATTTTCTTTTTGTCAGAAAATATGATAGTTCTCCATTCTTCTTTCCAAGATGTGAAATTTTTGGTCCATTCAAGTCAAGCTGTTTTGGAATAGCTTTCATTGTTGAATATTTAACAATAGGATTCTTTGCAGACACCTCCAAATTGTTATATGTGATACTTCATTGTCCATTTCATGAGATATTTCCCTGATAGACATATTATTCCTGGTGTTTTGCCCAAACATTTCTGTAATCTTGATTACTCGGGGATTTCTTATGTCCTGATTGCTTTTTTTGCATAAATATTTTTTATAACATGTTATGAATTGCTGTTTTAGGTCTATTTAGTACTTGTACTATTTCTCTTTCTGATTTCCCTGAACCACAATAGTACAAAATTTAACGAATTTCATTCTCTGAAAGCTCCTTTCCACATGGCATTGTAGAAAACAGTATACAATAGATTTAAAATGTGATGAAAACTGTTAAGACGACATCATAACAATGAATAGATGATGTAAATATCAACAGTTTTTAATTTAAAAATTTTTTTAAATACAGTGGAACCTAATTAACAAGCACCTCGCATAATGAGCAAAACAAATTGTAAAAAATTGCCTCGCTTAACAAGCAATGTTTTGCATAACGAGTGACGAGGAGAGGGAAAGTCCTGAATTGTGTGCATTCTCCATCAGTCTGTGTTTAGCACTCGTTCCACTTGCATTTTAGTGTTGCTTGTGATCACATATTTTTCCAAACTTAATTTGACTAGAGGTAGGCAGCATAACTGTCTACCTCTAGTCAAATTAATTAATTTCTATTATTTAATTATAACCTTTATATAGCCCAAGAATTTGGCATATCATTTGGAGTGTTTATCAAACATATTATCTGTGATTTTTTTTGTTTTCTGCAAATCAAATTCTCATTCCAGGTTAGTTCATTCCATGCTAGATGAACAGATAGATGATGATGACTCACATTCCTTAACAATGTACATTATATTTGTACAATTTTCTTTGAATAAATGTTATACATAAAATATTTGAGTATTTTTTTTAGTGTGGAATGCATTAATGTATTTTACATTAATTTCTATGGAAAAAATTGTTTCACTTAACGAGTGTTTCGTATTATGAGTATGATTCTGGAATGAATTATGCTTAATTATTTTTTTTATAAATATTTGAAAATGCCATGTTTCAAAAATATAAAATCACACTATAAATGAGAGCTGTACATTATAAAAAAGTAATCTATTAATAACGATTGGACCTCCCTGTTTAAAATAACATTATAAACTCTATTTTGCATAGAATTAACTAATTTCTGAAGTGCTTTTTCCTATGTTTCATTCCAGGCTCTCATAATCACTACTACTAGTTCATTTACATGAAAATATTGATAATGATTTGCATACACTTTTCTTACTAATATGTCCCATAGGTTTTCTATAGGATTCAAGTTTGGGTTTCTTGATGGCCATGGCAAAACTTTAATATTTTCCTTTTCAAACTTTTTTTTTTCACTTGAATTATGACAAGGTGCATTATCTTGTTGAAATATCCAATTATTACAATCAAGATATGGTCCAAATGATAGTAATTGATTACTTAACATATTTGGATATTTTTCTGAGTTACATCTATCAGAAATTCTAACAAGATCAACTTTTCCTGAAAAAGAAAATCCACCTTAAAACATTACATGACCATCTCCCATTTGCCTGCTAAAACAGTGGTTCTCAACGTTTTTTGTTGATGTACCCCATTAGCCCATCAGTTGTTTCTCAAGTACCCCTTATATTTTTGTATGTAAATTTTATAATTACTGCGTTAGATGTATACAGCCTTTATAACTGAGCGCCATAAGAAAACTCTAACTAACTAACTATAACTAAAAGTGAATTACTTATTTTACTTTAATAATAATAAATTTAATCAGGTACATACATTTATTTATTATTATTTGACAAGTACTGTATATTACATAAAGTCACAAAAGTCATTTCAATACATGCATNTTAACGAGTGTTTCGTATTATGAGTATGATTCTGGAATGAATTATGCTCCTTAAGCGAGGTTCCACTGTAATTTTTCCAAAATTTTGTATGTGGTCTTATATTTTTGAAATATGATGTTTTCAAATATTTATAAAAAAAAATAATTAATAAAATTTTGTGTGTTATTTCAGTGATAAATATTGTATAATTTGAAATAATAGACATTATTATAACAGTAATCAAATAAATATTTCATTCATTTTTATGAAATTAAAAAATAAGTAGTAGTCTTATAATTATGTGACTGTATATCAATTGAAACATTATATTATACTTGCTAACATGGTCTTATCCTGACATTATTCACTGCTGTTGAGCACTTTGTATATCAAATGTAATTTTTAAATCTACAAAAATGGGTAGCCACATTGTGACAATATCAGCTTGATTGCAAACAGTTTTTAATTATGAAAACAGTTCCTCTTATAACATTGGTAATTGTAAATAATGTGATGTTTTAATTGGTATATCATTGCTGTAAATGTAACACAAAAATTAAAATTTACTTTCAGGTTTGTTTGTGTTAATTATTTGTCCATACTTAGTAATACATTGTCAGGGGTCATGCTGCCTGTTACAAAATTTGCAATTCATCTGGCAATTGGAGTGGCAAATAGCAACAGCAGTCTGCAGAAAAAAAAGTCACTCAGTGAAAACTGATTTTGAGAAGGCTGAACAACCACAAAGGATTTAGTTTTAATCCAATGTGCTACTCAAACTTTAACATGAATTTTACAGTTAATAAACAAAAATAAAGTTGCTTGAGAAACTTAATCATAAAAACTGTTGTTTTATATTGTGGATCATCCTTTCATTTCTGGTTGGTACAAAAAGACACAGTAAGTGAAAAAGTAACATGGTGAATAACTTTCTATTTTGGCAAATAAACAATGGGTTTGGAAAATACATTGGTGATTGCTATAAAAAAAGCCAGGATGACCCCTGAATTGTACTGGGTGTCCGAAAAGTTACCATGCAGTGGAAAAGGTTTAAGTAAAGTTTTAATAAAAGTGAAGTTTTATGTTCAATATTGCAGTTTTTCCTAAAACAAATACTGGAAATGTTCCTCAGAGGGCCCATAATCCAGAGGTCTGGAGACCTTGCAGACGAGATTCTATGGGAGATTCTGAGATCGACCAAGAAGTCTTCTAAAAACTAGGACATCTATGAGCAAGCAGTAACACCAAGTACCATAAAGTGGAAATGTGGGACATATAACACAGGTTTTGTACAACGCTTTATGTATAACTTTAATATCATTACACATTTCTCACTGCACAGTAACTTTTTAAATGCCCTGTATCGTATACCATTTCAAATTCCTTGCATTACCAGATTTTAGAACTAAAATATTTTTGTAGAATCCTTTTCCTCTTTGCCTTGAATATTATAACTACCAAATTTAGTAACATTCTATTTATTTAAATACTAAATACATCTAAATTGATTTGATCTTCAAATGCAGAAACAATACAACCTTATGTTTGATAGAGTTCCAGAACTTATAGCAGTTGTTTAATTATGGCCATCCCATATATAAGAAATCTTTTGAAGTAAATTCTTTCATGAATATGCAATATTCAAGATGCTGCAGAATTTTTTCAAATTTCAGTTTTTTCACTTTAATTATAATAATGATGGAATTAAAATTTAAATGCATAAATATGTTTTAAAAATTGATATTAATTTAACATTTAAACTGATTAAAATTATAATAAATTAATCAATCTTGAATAAGTCCAACATTTTTAAAAATTTTTATACCATAATGCAATTCTATTTATGGAAACATTATAGTTTTGCATTGAAATGCAACATGTATATGTTAATACATTTTAGTTTCAATATGCTTAATAATATTTAAATTGTTACTTTTATTATTAAGCAATAAGTTTATTGTAAAATTAAAAATAAAAATTAAACATTTAAGAGATCAATAAATGGTGTGAAAAGGGATTTATTATCTGATTTGGATGAAGCTTCATCGGTAAGGTCGAGATCAAGCCGGACTTCTACTCCAGTGAGGAGGTATGACAAATTTTCTTTTTTTACAGTTCAAAATTGTTTTCTTATTATTTAACTTAGGATAAATTGAAACTACACTTTGAATTAACAGAAGTTTAGTACCCGGCTTTATTTAAAAACTTTTTTAAAATTGTTTTACTTACTATTATTGAGTTGCGAAGTGGATAAAATCACTGAATATTGACAGCTGGTTTTAGGTTTACACCCAGCTAATGGACTGATTCCATGGAGTTTTCTGGAGTTTCTGGAAAGTCTTCGGGGGCACCCACTTGGATAGCCCATTGCTTACATTGTTGTATTTTGTGAAACCAAACTACATAATTTTGTTTATTTCTTGATATAACTGCTGTAAATGTTGAGACATTTATCCCAGTGTGACACTAGTTTGAACATCCCTTCACAGTACTGTTACTTGTCAAGTTGCTCAAAGTAGTCCAGAATGGTTCTTCCAATTCCTCCTGATCCGCAAAGCATTCCCCCGCCAAAAATTTCTTTAAAGGTCAAATAAATGAAAATCTGAGGGGACTAAATCTGGACTATACTCCACACATCAAATCAAACCAAACTGTGGTTGGCACAGCAGAATTGGCACAGCATGATCCTGCAACATCCTCTGTGTGGTTCAGATTTAGTCCCCCTCAGATTTTCATTTATTTGATCTTTAAAGAAATTTTTGGCGGGGGAAACCCTTTTGCGGATCAGGAGGTATTTGAAGAACTTCTGGACTACTTCAAGCAACTTGACAAGTAACAGTACCGTGAAGGGATGTTCAAACTAGTATCACGCTGGGATAAATGTCTCAACGTTTATGGCAATTATGTCAAGAAATAAACAAAAGTATGTAGTTTTTGTGGAATGTATTAAATATTTTTTTAATTATAAATTTTAGTGTAATTTTGGACTTTAATATCGGACTCCCCTCGTATAAAAAATAGTTTTAGAATCGATGGCACCTTGCATCTGCAGTCCAAATCAACAATTGGAAATCATTGTAAATAAAAGAACATTGTAGATCAATAATAAAAGCTTTCAGAGATGCTATTGAATGGTCCATCAATAATATATCTAACATCTGTAACAATTAGATTGCTCATTTAAAATTCATAGAAAATGCTTTTAATGTTATGCCAAATCTTTTCAATAATCTGTTTTCAAGTAAAAAAGCAAAAGCAAAATTGAAAGTGGCAAAGACAACAATGCAGCTTTATCAAAACATTTCTTTAGTTGGACGGTCGAGGCAATTAAGGCATTGGCCTACCTCTGGGGTGCGAGATCAAATCCTGATTTGATCTGCCCCGATACGTTGGACCCCATCCTTCACCACCTGGCCCCCATCATGGGCCTCGAAGAATCCACAATGGGTATGATTAAAAAGACACTCTTAATGCTCATAGGGCAGAAAGAGATCAAAACATTTCTGTAAAGACAGTGGAAGAACTGATTGCATCTTATTCTATTATAGTAGATCAGAAATAATTTAAGATTGTATGAAGATTAAGGTTTACTTTCTAACCGAAACTATAGGAAATATAATCAGAAATCTATTATATCTCCATAATGATAGAGCTGTTATAGTTAATTAATATCTGTATTTTACGTTACTTTTTTCTTGTTTCCAATTTAAAAATATATACGTACTTTCCGGCGTATAAGACGACCCCCGACTTTTGAGAAGATTTTCCTGGGTTAAAAAGTCGTCTTATACGCCGGAAAATACGGTATCATTATACGATTAATGTTAAAGTCGAACCTTCCATAACGGCCACCTCTAAACGGAGGCCATTATTCAAGAACGTTTCTTTTCGAAGTGCGTATAAAAACTTCCAAACTACGATCATTTTTATGTTCCCGTCAGTGGCCGTCGTTCAAAAATTTGGCTAATTTTTGACGAGACTGTGTCTGGTCTCTAAAATCGCGCTGCCGCCAACGGCTGCAAACCTTACAGCTACGAAGGAGGACATGTCAGGAGTTGCAATTTGGCACAGAGAATTTGGTGCTCGAATCATGCGCACATAAAATAAACCGGACTGCAGGTAGTCGGGGGACCGAGAACCGGGTAAAAAAAAAATACGAAATGCCAAGACTGTTTCTACAAACAGGCGCGAGTGCCAGATTTGCGCACGCGTTGCTCACGCTCTCCGAGACAGTCTGGTCCCAAAAATGGCTTTGCCGTTTTACTCGTTTGGTTATGTGAATATAAAAATAAACGTTGATTGGCATAAAACGAAGCTTTGTTTTGCTGTGTTTCGAGTTATTTATAAAATGCCAACATCCAAAGACTCTGGCCGATGTTTATCTTAATAAGGACTTGTTTGTTCAACTGTAATATACATTTTACTTTCCCGAAAAAGTAATGTAATCATCTCAAATTTTTACTTTCTTGTTATTTTCCTAGCTGTCTTAACGCCGACTATTATAATATAATAATGTAATCGTGTCACATTTGACCCTCCGGTTTTTGGAATTGCGATATTTCGACACCTCTGAATCCAAAAAAGTGAAAAAAAACCGATACCCAAAATGTGTGTTGACATCTACTTTGGTCGATATCTCAAGATAAAGAAATGAAATTTGGCACCAAGTTTGTGTATAAGCAGTGGTGATATTCAGCGGGTTCGCACAGGTTCGACCGAACCCGTTGTTAACATTTTCAAAATTTTCCGAACCCGTTGTTAAACACACGTAACATTTCTCAGCGGTTTTGTTTCTTTTAAAAAATATATTAAAATATACGTATTATACTCTGTAACACTACTAAACTAGAGCCTTATACCCCGTTCGCATATAACCTCCATCGACCGTTTCAATCTCGACTGAAACGAGATTTAATCGCGATCGACTCAAGAGAGTTCTTGAAACTAGGTCCAGTCATACGAGGGATCCCACAATCTCACGCGCGCGAGCAAATACAAGATGGCTGCGGAACACGTGTCGGGCTATCGACAGAGAAATAAAAAAGATATTGTATTTCGAAAAACGATGACATCTGTCTATTATTATAATAATACCTAATGATAAAATAAATGATTTAGAAAAATTTTTTCTTGAGAAAAAGTCATAGGGAAAACAGTTAACTCCTTGGGACTCTAGCAATTTTTGATATTAATGTAATTAAACATAAAAAATACGTAAAACTGACAAAACGAAAGAAATGCGTTAATTTTGAAAAAAAAAAGCTTCAGATTTTATTTTCCTTTGTCTCCTCTTTCTGTGAAGTCTGATGCTGATGAATCATTGTTTAAACAGCTGGATGACTTTGAACACAGCTGGAGTTGGATTTCCCAGAACATTCTCATAGAAGTCTCGGGAGGCGATGGGTTTATAGTAGGGTGAATACTAGCTGGCCGTATATTTTAAAATATTTTTAAAAAATTAAAATTTTTATTGCGATTTCCGACCCCCCGACTTAATTAAACTTATATATAATAAAATCTATTAATTAAAAAAATTTAAAAACTATCGGAGGTCGTTTTTGACATCAGAAACTAGCTTTAAATAACTTTACCGAAGGAAAATTTGTGCACTACAACTTTAGAACGATGAATGAAATTTGATATCAAACTCCAATTAAAAAACAATTAAAAAGCAATTAAGCGTGAATCGTGCGTCATTAAAGGTAAATTAAAATCGCGATAAAATTTTTTCGCGCGGGAAAAAATTTTTGAAAAAATTTGGAGACAAAAAACATTTCAAAAATCCAAAAAACAAAAACTTTAGGGGATCCAAACGCCCATGTTTTATGTAACGCTATGTAACTTGCCCGATATATCTCGGGCATGGGGTTTAAGGTTAATTATAAGGAAACATTTTCTGTTAGCGAACCCTTTGTTAAATATTTCGAATATCACCACTGTGTATAAGTGGCATTGATACTATTGAACTTTGGTGGTCAAAGGTCGAGAGGGGTAAAGGTGAGAAGATAGACGGGTGTCGTATCTAGAAAGGGGTCGGACTTAATGAAGATTTATTACTCGTTATCAACATTTAAATTTTTTTTTTTTTATAAAATCCGTCTATATCCTCAAAATTAAGCCTTTTACCATTTCATAATGATTGATAATATAAAAGTTATTTTTAAAATAAAATCTTAACAGCCGGGAAAGTTACGCAGCTCGTTGCTGGATTTATTTATTTTTATATTTTTAAACATATCCTTTTTGTTGTTAGTGTGAGTAGAGCTTCTACGCCATCGAAACGAACCTGCAACGGGCTCAACAAGTCTGGTCTTTCTTGCAAACGAACCTGCGTTACGGGGAAAGATTTCTGCTATCAGCATTTGAAAGATGTGAAGCTGTCATCTTAAGAAATTCAAAGTTATTGTAAATATATTGTAAAAGTTATTGTTTTGTAAATTTTATTTTCGTTTTTTTAAAGTTTAGAATTTTAGTTGTAAAGAAAAATGATTGTTTTATACAGTTCTATTGATTACAAAGACAACCTGTTTTGCCCGTGTTAAGAGTAAAAATAAAATGTGTAAACGTCGCAATTAGAGCTTCTGCTCTTTTCAGTCCCGAGAATTTCAGTCAAATAAATATCATAGATGATGATTAAAGTTTTATTACAAATCGCCATAACTGTTTAATGGTTGCGGTTAATGTAATATTAACCGCACGGATTTTCCTATATGATTTAAAAGAATCGGAGACCCTCAGAACATCTTATCGTTTTTGATGCTTAAACTTCATATAACGTCTCTCTCTCGATACTACGTTTTTACCTCCATATTTTCACGAAAAACAATTTACTTTTACATCGTTTTGTTAAAACTGCGCGTGGTAAAAGTCACGTCACCAGTTTCGTACCAAAATACCATAGAAAGAACGTTAATCATGGGCGTAGCCAGAGTTTTGTTACGGGGGGCCTAGTAGAGGCCAACCTGACACAAAATTGAATTATTTCAAATTATTGTTCATTAAAATGAAATTTCCGTAAGAATCGACGATAACTTAACACATACAAAATATGAAACTTCCTTTAATCATACGTTCTCGTAACATTAATATCAAACTCTAGCATTGCCTTAAACAAAAATTAACCGATCAATTATTTTTTTTTACCATTCTTGAATATAGTTCACCGTTTTTAATCTAGATATAAACCGGGGGTGGCCGACAGTTTTTTCCTCCGGGCCGAATTGGAAAGAAAACTTTTTTCACTGTCCGAACCAGAGGCGGCCCTAGCAAGATTTTCGGGTGACGCGAGAGCTTATTGCGGCGTCATTCCGTAGAGACTAAACTGTACATAGAGATTACAGATACACTCTTCACGTTGGGCACGGGAAGCCGTCGATTTTTTTTTATTTTTAGGATCGGAATTTGTCAACTTTCCTATAAGTTAGCATTGTCAGGTTGTATAGAATTATCGCGGATCCATTCAACCAATTATTTGAAGTTCAGTCCAATATTCAGAGATTAATTGCGGGCCGCGGTACACTATACCCAATTAAATTAGCTTCAACTTTTTATTTCTTTTTGCAAATCGACTCAACACTTTTTCGGCTGTGATTTTCTGGGGAGGACACCGGGTTAACTGGGGGGACCGCCACGCCCCATGCCCCTTCCTGGCTACGCCCGTGACGTTAATCACGCGTAAACGTTACGAATGACTTTCCGTTGGATGTTGGAAGAGGCGCGCGGATCGTTAAGGTGGAAGAGAGTGACGGGAGAAGTAGATTTGCCTGGTTACTCGTGACCAGGGACTATGGTTCGCAGGCAGTTCGGTGGGGTGGCTTCCGAAGAATCTTGTTTGTTAAATAGCTTTCTCCAAAAGGGATTCCGAGGGCTACGATATATAAGCGATGAATTAAGACGTATCTCAACTGTTCATTGAGCTCAGAGGTAACGAACTCGATGAATAGTTTACTTGAACAAACCGAAGTAATTGGTTAAGATTGACGTCATCTCTATCAGTTTGCATCGATGACTTTAGGGAAAGAAAAACAACCCGTTCCGCGATGAGAGCGATGTTTTATGAATTTTAATACAGTAAAGCCTCGAAAACTCGGCCTAATGTGGACCGAAGGGTGGCCGAGTTTGTGAAAATGCCGGGTTATCGGGAATGGGGTTAAAAAAAATAAGTATGAGTGTTTCTTCAAAAAATACTGTACTGTACTTGTATGTATTGTTTACTTGAGAATACAACAGAGAATAAACTGCCCAAATACCCTTAAACAAAGGAAAAATACATCTTTTATGAAGGCATAGAGCCTTTACTACATGAAAATGAAAATTAATGAATACACTGTGTACAGTAATTTACCCGATAAGACAGACCTCAGAAAAATACTTTATGAGGCATAAAACTGTCTTTATCATGAAAATTAATTAACTAAGGATATTTTTTGCCCTGCCAGGGTGTGGCAGAGTTATCCGGAGTGCCGAGTTTTCGAGGCTCCACTGTACAATATTTTCTGGTTACACACAAAATATGTTGCTTATTGTTGGACATTTTACGTACGTTTTAGAAACTTTAGGCTTTTATGTCGTAACGCTTATTTTCCGTATTTAAAGTGGTGGAGCATTATAGGCTCCCGGTTAATATTTTCGCTCGCAACTGAGTTTTGGGTATGTATTAATTAATGACGTTGAACGAAGGATGCTGTAAAGCAATGCCATTACGTGACGAAACTTTACTTTTTGAAGTCGTATTAAAGTCCCGGGAACAAAAGGAAATATAACGGGGGGGGCTTAGAATCCCGTCGTCCGATTTCAACACGCGACGTTTCGTAGATATGTCTTTCAATATAAATGTCGCTTTCCTTTTAAGTTCGTAGGGATTGTCCAGTAAATAAAATATTAAGTATCGTTTAAGGTAATTTCCTTTTGACTCATTTTCGGTATACAAATAGAGATGTTTAGATATTTTATTTTTCGGAACAAAATAAGTAACAGAGACCAAACTATTTTCTGTTTGCAGAAAATTCGCGAGTATAATTTTTCGCTCCTATCGGGAGGTACTGTACACTTTTGCCAATATTGTTTTACTAGTAAAATGTTACGGGTCTTTTGAATCTGCCAACGTGTCTTCTCTTAAATAGCCACTACCTCCCACCAATGACTTCACTTCCCAGAAATCTTTTCGGAAAATATGAAAAAAATACTAAACGAAGCGACTTTCTTCCACGACAGAATCCAAGTGCTAGATCTACGGGCCTCCGCTGGGGAGTCAACGATGCGTTTGCCCCACTAGATCGGGTCTTCCGTTCTCACCATCACCCAGCCATATTGCCCAGAGATAGTACAATTTTAAACAATTATGATAGAGTATCTTATATTTCTGCCCCATTGAGAAAGTTTCGACGTGGCCGGATGGTTTGTAAGGAGGAAATTCGACAGCGATAGTTCGCGCTTTGATTATAGACGAATCTACCGTAAGAATTGTTTCTGACGTTCAAATAGAAGGATGGCGTGGATTGAACGACCACTCGCCTATTTTTCGGTCCGATAGACCAAAGTACTCGGAACTGTAGAAAACATTGGGGATTGGAAAGTGTTTAATGCGGGGTCGTGTTTAAGCCGCTTCCACCGAGTGTATTAAACGAGGAAGTTGGAAATGACGCCACCCTACAGCGGAATTCTTAAAAATTTCTGTTTGCCCGAATGTAAATAATAATCCGTTTTGATCGTACTTTTCATATTAAGTTTTGGCGTTAGAGGAGTGTTTTGTGCGGAAAGACTCGTACGCGATAAGCCCGACCGTTTGGCAAATTAACAAATTTAGACCATTGTCTTTGACCGTCCGTTACACCGGAGGGTTGGAATTTCCGCCGTTCCTGGCCAAATTCCGCTTTTCGACGCGGAAGACGACGTCCAAGTTCCTCGTTTCGACCTCCGTCGACATTTTCTGCCATTTCCTTATTTTCGCATAAAACGAAACGCGGCGAAAGGTTTTTCTCGCGCGAGAAGCCAGGCCAACATCCGGGTTAATTAAAAAGGAGGCATTTTCTAATTCCTCCGGAGGGCGCTAAAAGTAACAGATTCCAGAATATTCGCGTATTTTTGAAAAATTTCTTCATTACCGACGAACGGTCACAAACCGTACAAAAATCGATCGTCGCGCGATTATTCCGTCCCCCTTTAATACGACGTTCTCGATATAACGCTTTTGTGTAGAAGTAGAACGAGTCTTAGGCTATTTAAAAAGTTGCCAACTTCTTTTGTTATTTACGCAATTTGTCCCCGATTTTCAATGGTTATCGCCGTTAAAAGCGTTCGTTCATCCGTAGATCTTTTCCTCCGTCTAAAAATAATTTAATTTGCCACTCTCTTATCTCGTTTTATGTCCGTAGACGGATTCGATCCGAATCTATCGCCTCCATTTATCCGTCTTTTTGTAATTTCTGCTCGCCACTTATTTCGACAATTAATTCGCGCAACGCGTCTTACCCGACAGATTTCCAACAAACCGTGGACAGACGCGACGACTGAACTTTTGCGTTTTTCCAGAAGGAAAGGAGGCGACGCGTTTAAAAGGATGTTTACGCCTTTTGACCTTTGACGTATTTACGCCGGACGGGCGGAAGGCCGATCTTAGTTACGGTCCGTGGAGGTCTCCGTCGCCAAGCGCCTTCTTCCGGGGGCGGGTTAGAGAGTCGCGCGGGGCGCGGCTGCGCTCCTTTCTGGGAGTTTTTTCCGAGTTTAGCCGAGTATTTCGGGTAGTAAAAAGGCTGTAAGCTTTCTGCTCCCCTCGTAAAGATTTCTGGATTGGCTACTGCGCTCCTCCCACTCCAAATACTCTGTCGGAAAATATTGGATGGAAGTTACGGACTCCTTCTTTCGAGATAGAAATGCGCGTAACGTTACGCTAGCAAAGTCGTACTTCGTTTAGCTCCTTCCGAAAAAAGTAGCCTTTCCTAGTTTGGCTCGTTGACTCGGATTCGAACTCCATTCTCCGGACGGAAGATCGGAAGGTGACCAGTTTGTGACGCGTTTCCTCCAGATAAATTTCGTTAATGCGTCGGAGTTAAGAATGGTGGCGTTTCTTCCGGGTGGGACACACTTTAATTCGAAAAACAATGCGCAAATAATCGTTCGATCGGTGCTCCTAAAAACGGATATCTACTACTCCGACTAAAACATTATGGAGGGTGATCCCGGGTTCGATTTCGGATAACATCGTCGGTAATGATTCAGATCCTCGAACAAACCGCAAATAAAGAACGTCCCGGCGGTCACCTACTTCTACCACGCCGCTATCGGTCGTTCGGGAGGATTTCTGATAGAATGCTCGGACCACCCTTCCGCTTCCGGCTATTTTCCCAGGGAATGGTGCGGCCGATCGATCTCCAGTGGCCATAAAGCGAAAGAAAAGTAAAATAAACTGATCTCGAGTCTTTCGGTTTTACTTCCCCGTATTTTACTTTAAGACCCAAAGTTTTTTAAGAAGTCGGAAAGAAGGAAAGACCTCCTGTCCGGCTTACCAAAGCCCGGAAATAAAGATTCCGTGCACGAACGAGGATGGAAGTTTCGGTCCTTGACGAAAGTCGGGACGGAGGTATTTTTCGAGCCTCTAGGCAGGGAATTTGTCGAGAGAAACTGCGGTAGACATCGGCCGAATGAAAAACTGCGTTTCGACGGAATGGCCAAAATTTCCGGTAAAAATTATAATTGGTGGGAAATACCCGAGAATTTCGAGCAATCCGGGCACCGAACGTTCCCTCTTTTTCCGAAATTCTGAAGTTAGCGTTAAAAAGCGTCCGAATTTCTTTTAAGGAACCAGATTTGTCGTTTTCGGACACGAAGTCCTTCGTTCGACCGCTATTTCTAAAACCAAGATGGCGGCCTCTACAGGACCGTCCCGATCTTTAAAACGCACGCGCTTCATTACTTCCAGGTTATTAATTAATTAATTCAATGAATAGAAAATATCGGCCGCTTAAACATAAAATAAATAAGACTTTATTCGCGTCTAAACAATTCTCTATAAAACAATTATACAATGGGAAAGGAGGGATTCTCCGTCGCCTCCGGGAACGGGACGGAGCGACGCGTTCTGGCAGTTGCGCTTCGACAGAAGCCAAAGAAACGTGGCGTTTCTTTTCACCGCCGGATCCGCCCCCTTCGGCCACCCCATCTCCGCCTTCAATTTCCGGTCGGAAACGGGCGAGAGAAGGCGCGGAGACCGAATTACGTCCACTCGGACCCTTTCCGTCTTTGGCTTAATAGGACGAGGACAGACGAGGATCGCCGGGGTTGGCGGTCTCCGTTTAGCGCTGCGCGAGTTTCGCTATAAAAATATTATTTGGCAGCGCCGTCCGACCCGAAAGTATTTACAATATTACGACGGCCGCGGGAGACAGAGCCGAAGGACGTCAGACGTTCAGAGAATAATAGATAAATCCTCGGTCTCCGAAGGACTCGGAGGAGGCGGGCGGAGAAGAGCTGGCCCCTTCCGGAACGCCCCTCTCCTCCTCCGGTCCCTCCCTGCCGTCCGCCTCGGCGCGCCTATCTGCCGCGCGCGGGGGCCAAGTGGGATGACCCTCGACCGAAGCCGGGGGACGGATCTGAGACTGCAGTCGACGCAGGATCTCGAAGGTGGACCCGAAGCGGGGTCTGATGCCGCGCACCGAAGGATTCCTCTCCAAACCCGGATCGGTCAGGCTGTACCTCTTCCTGATCCTCTCGATCCTGCCCAAATATTGTTCCACGAAGCGCTCCAGTTCGTCCGAACGCGAAGTCTCTATTTTCCACTCCCGCACGTCGCCCGGGACCGTCACCTCTCCGTCCCAAAGAGTTTCCGGACGCACCAACCACCTCAACTTTTCCGACAGACATTCGGTGCTGGAGGCTCTCCGCCCGGGACGACCGGAAGTCGCTCGTCTCTTCACTTCCGTCGCCTCCAGCGTCGTTCGGCAGTAAGAGGATTCTTCCATCCGCCTGCGGATATCCGAAGTCCTGCTGCGGGGCTCTTCCGGTTCTCGCTCCTCCCGAGATCGAGCGATCGTCTCCTCTTCTTCCTCTCGGTTCTCTTCCGGTTCTTCCGCATCTTCCTGGACGGAAACGTCGGAGTCTCGGTCCGGCTCGGCACGGCGCGTCGGGAGAGGCGCCCGGCCATCGTCCTCGGACGCGTCTCTTTCGCATCGAATCTCTTCTTGTTGGACAGTCCTGGTCAAAACGATAGTGTCGCGCGAGTCGTCGCTGTCCGCCTCCTCCTCCTCCTCCTCATCTTCCTCTTCGTCCGCTTCTTCTTCTCGGTCGTCGTCGCGCGGTTGCAGCACGTCCCAATCGTCGTCGTCGTCGTCGTCATCTTCGTCGTCCGTGGTCCGCCGATTGACAGAGACGACGGGGAACCAATCGCAGTCCCAGTCTCCGTCGTCGAACTCTTCTTCCGAGTCCCGGTATTCGAGGGGAGGGTCGAAGGCGAAAAGCGTCTCGGTGCCCTTGACGGGCTCCTCCCTGCCCAGCGGCGCGTCGTCCGCGTAAACGATGGCGGTGCTACTGAAAGTGACGCATTTGTAGTTCCTTTCCGCTCCGCTCCTCTTCAGAGAGGATTTTAAGGGCGCGGCCATCTTCCCGGCCCCCTCTTCCTCCATTTTTTCTTCGGACTCTTCTTCGTCTGGAGAGCGCCGCGCCGCCTCCGACGCGGCGCCCGATTCCGTCTCCGCTCTCGACGTCACCATGGCATCCGAAGGCCGATGGGAAAATGGCGCTCTGGAAAATAAAAGAGAGGAAAGTGAAAAATCTTTCCGCCTTTACTTTCGTTTTTTCTTCCCGACGTCGGTCAGTCGATCTCCCCACCGACGACGGGCGCCACCTTTTCTCTAATTTGACTCCGCGGATCGACGCGGTCGATAACCCGGAAACGACGCGAATTACGTTCGGGAAAATACGATTCGGATTCCGAAACGAAATGTCAGCAAAAAAAAAAGTACCTTCCGTCAGTGGGCATCACCCGCCGAATTCGAATTACCAACCGCGCTCGGACGAGGTAATACATTTAAAGGAGCGACTAATTTGCATAATGGCGGGCGCTAATCCGAGTCCGGGGGAAAGGCGAAACGGAATTTTGCTCTGGTCGTATTTTCGGCCATTTTATCGGTCTCACGAAGACGAAGGACGATAATTGTGGAATAATTACCGCCGGTCGTAGCGCCCTCCGACGGCCGATAACTGAAAACGCGCTTTAAAAGTGACGGAGAAAGGAGCGGAAGGTCGAATTTCTCCGCCACGGGAGTAGGAACGCGGCCCTTTACGTCACGCGACGTAAACAAACCGCCGTGGCGCGTGTTTACGTCGGAAAATCCCGAGACGCGGAGTCGCCGGAGACTCTCGACCCGACCGAATTTGCGGATTTAAAAAGGAAACGAAGCCGCAACGCCGCGGGGAACGGCGGACACCTTAACCGACTAATTATCCTAACGAGGCGAGAGCCGTTAGGATAATTATCCCGTCCGGCTATTTTCGTCGGCGGGAACGCCCGTTTAACCCGTCGTTATAAGCGGGTCTTAATATATCCGGTGGTCGATCCGTACCGGGGGTTAACTACGCGGCGTCGACCCGGACGCGCGGCCGCCGGCCGGGAAACAGAGCGTGGAACGGCGACCCGGACCCGAGATGCGAAAAAAGTCGGCGACGCCGTCCGGAGGGGGAAGCGGCCGAAAGACAACGAAGGTCGAAGGTCGAAAGGCGGGCGCCCGATGATTTGAGGTTAAAAGAACGTCTCCGCTCCCGAAAGTCGGGGTAACGGAGCGGCCGTCGCCCGGGTTTAAAGTCTCCCACCTCGGATATCTCGTCCGTTACGAGAGTTGGAAACCGGAAAGGAGTTTTATGGGATTTTTACGCAATCGGCAGCTACGTCATTACCAAGCTACGCCAGAGTACGTCGGGAAAAGCTTCCGCGGAAGATCGATAGACGTAGCGGAGTTAACGACCAAAACTTTTCGACTTGGCTTTTAGCCTCGGACAAAAGAAAAACGCGGTACAAAGAACCGATTTCCGCTTCCGCTTCGTTTAAGAAAAGAGCGTAAGGCAGAGCCGAGATATGGACTCGTCCCGGGCCGTAACCGAGAGGGGAGAAGTATATCGGTAAGGGGGACGAATTAGTCGAGCGAATCGCCGGTCGGTGGCCCATTAAACCAGATTTACGACTCCAACCATACGAGACGAAATCGATGCAACGTTCTTAATAGGAACGTTTCGGAGAATAAATTGTTGGCCACGTTTTCGCGCGCGTCGCGGCGAGTAAAAGTCGGAGAGACGGCGGGAATTGCCGGAACGAACGTTACTTCGGGGTTCGGATATTCCCGTTGGACTAGCGATAGTTTTCTATTGTTTGGCCACGAATAAAGGTCTTAAATCGAGACTTTCTTCCATCGACGTGGCTACTTTACGTTCTAAAATATGGCATTTGCTTCCCTAATTAATACCGCGTTTTGTTACGCCATTATGGCTTAATATTTCCGGTCCTCTCGGTTTACCTACAGTTTTAATATTTAGTAAAATATTATCTCCGTTATCCGTCGAAGAATCTAACGATTCATTTCTCTTACTCAAAGAACATTCGTCTTTCGTTCTGTCCAAAGTGTGTGCCAAATATCGCAACGCCCAAATCCGGGATGCGAACGACCTTTAATTTTCTGCAAAGTAAACTTTTGGCACCGACTCCGCTTTTTTTTCTTTCCGCCGTATTTTTTCTAACGGAACTTGGTCGCGAGTCGGTCGTTTACGGAACGAGGCGGGTGGTCCGCACCGTATTTTCAGCCCCCCTGGCGTGTCGGAAAGAAAAGGCCGATCTGTTCCTCCCCTTTGCGCTTCGCTAGAAGCCGGACGGAATACTTACGGTATTCCGATAATGACGAAATTTACGCGACATTCGAGGGTAGACGGATTTTTTTTCGGGAGAGGTAAAGGGTTGGCACCCGCCCAAAATCCTTGGAAACGTCTTCCCAACGGAGAAACGACGGGAAGTCGGGCGCCGACCTGACAATCGTCTTTAATTCTTTAAGTGTCTTCGGTCGTGGCGTCTCGAGTGCCGATTATCGTCGCTGCGCCCCCTCGCCACTTTTCTCACGTCTCTACTTCGATGGCCCTCTTCTTCGTTTCTATTTGTCTCGGTATAAAGTCCCGTCGCGTATCGCTTTTTCGAACGGAAACGACGCTTCGTCCGCCAAAAATCCCGTTGTTCTTCGTAGGAGAGGACGAAAATTTTCGCTCCTCCTACGAGAGGTTCGAATTCCCACTCGCCACTCGCTCGGTCGGAGGAAAAGAAAGCGGGAGTAGAAAACGACGTCGAAACGAGGAAGACGGCACGAAATTTCTCGACTTTTCCCCGTGGGAGACGATCCGTTCGCTTCCCTCACGACTTTTACCCAACATTTCTTTCCAGTCTTAAAATAACGCGCGGATCGTTCACCCTCTTTTCGGCGGAAATTTTCCTCGGTTCTTTGCTCGCCCGTCGTAATCAGACGGACGCGACCAAGGATTTCAATAACGCCAATTTGAATCGCGACTCTTTTAGCCTTCTGTCTCGCTGTAGAAGGGCTCCAGAAAAGGTAATAAGCGGAATCCAGGAAAGAACTCGATTGGCGCGTGATGACACATTTCGATAATTAAATTTATTTTCCTGGAAATAAGAAGCCGTAAGACCCGCTTCCTCCATTGGCTTGGCGTTTTGTCACTTGCAAGGTTTCGTCGCCCGCCAATCTCTGGCCGACTCCCGATTCTTCTTCCGGTTTTCCGTCGAAAGGAGTTAGCGACTGGGAATACGATTCTACCGACACCGGACCGAGTCGATCGGATCCGTCGCGCGCCGATCGACGATAATCTATGGGAAACAAAGGGAACCGGGAAAATTCGGCGTAATTTTCGCGGAAAATTTCCACCCAAGCGACGGCGCGGCAATTTCCCGTCGTCCCGGCCGACCGATTAATTACGTCGTCGGTCGAAGCGGTGGCCTCGACCGGAAACCCGGTAGAAGGGAAGGAGTACCGTCGTTCCTCTCGTTTCCGGCTCCGAGCGATCATCGACGTCGCGTCGAATTTCGCGCGCTTCGCCACGTCCGCCGGTGGCGCGCGTCGTCGCCTCCGTAAACGAAAAGCGTTTTAGCGGCCTTTGGTCCGTGGCCACGGTCGTCGGCGTCGAGGGGAGGAAAACGCGAGATCCGTCGTCGTCCCGGAGTCGTTTGCCGAGCCGTGCCACCGCGGCCGTCGATCTCTCGGCCGTCGGCCGCCCGATTCTCGGTGGCCTACCTCCTATCGGCGAGATGGCGCGTGGGAAGGCGTCGGAGGCGCGCGACCGGAAGAGAACGGCGGGTCGAAGGCGGCGGAAAAGGCCAAATAAAGAGTCGTCTACTTACTTCGGGGAGGACGAGTGTCGGTGGTAGTCGACATCTGGTCTTCGCGCCGACGACTGGTCGGCGTCGATGCCGGCAGAGGCGCTGGCGAATTTGGCGTTTGGCGGTTGGTCGACGGACCGCGACGTCCCCGCCGCTCGGCGTACGTCTACCGCGCCGACTCGCCGCCGCAATCGCGCGCCCCGGCGCAAGCTCGGGGCTTTCTGTTTGTCTGTTTCGTTTCCGAAATCTCCGGAAACGGAAGGGAGCGACCGGTCTCCTCCCTCCGTTTTACCCGTCAAAACCAATCCGGTTTTAATTTAAGCCGAAAGTTGAACGGAAACTCTGAAATTACGTAGTCGAGCGCGCCAAATGACAAGCGCCTTTCCCCGGGAACGGGAGGAAATGGAATTTATGATGTTGGCTTGTCTTTAACGAACGAAGAAAGGGGTTTGCGGAGAAAACGGAAGTTGCCTCGGAGGCGAGAGTAATAATCGAGGAAGTATTTCGAGAGTAAAGACGCTTCGGTTCTGGTCCAGGCAACGACAAAATTACTTCTAATTTAATTTCTCCCAGGTAATTATTCTCTGTTCCGAAGCTTTCACTCGTGTCCACGTGGAAAGCGACAGATTTCGGAGGGACGGAGCAAATCGCCGATTTGTCATTCCCGTGGACCTCCCGACAATTCATTTCTTACTTTCCCCAACCAAACGGATGGGAATGGCCGTTAAAATGTGAAATTCCAATTCGTTCTTTTCTTTTCGCAAATACGATTAAAATGAAAGAAAAACCTAAAAGAAAAAAGAAAAATATCGAAAATTTGGCCTCTTTTCGGCCAACAAACAGTAAAAGGTGGAATCTGCCACACAGTCGCCACCACCGAAAAATTTAAACCCTTCTATAACGCCGTTACGTTACTTTCGAGCCTATTTTCCGTCGGGGTCGTTTGCTAGGATTTTAGGGTGCAGAATTAGTTCTAATTTTGGCCACACGGTGCGCCATTGGCGACTTTCCATCCCGGCGCCGGATTTCCGGTTAAGTGTTACTGTCGGTGGACTCCTTGGGTAGCTCGGAGCCCCGTTAATTTGTACAGTCGCCAAACAGACGCGATTAAATAGCACTCGATATAAAATAATAGAAAATTTGACGGAAGGTCGCGATAAAATTATTAAATTAAAGTTGCCTAAGCATTAATATTATTAGCAAATTTGCTCGGTAAGTGAAACATCCGTAAGAGAAATCAGCGGCCGAGCGAATAAAACCACCGAACACTGGCAATTGGTTCCACAAAAAAGCCGGCAGAGTGGAGTTTTCCGGGTTTTCTTCTAACATCTAAATGGTGACAATGGATAATATTTAAGGGTGTGGTCTTCCATAGTAAGCTCGCGGGATGCACCCCTTGGCATATCGCCCGTGTCTTGCCTTATCCCATCACTTTAATCGAACGAAAAACGAATTTTGATGCCAACCAGCTTTTCACTGTAAATACATTTACAGAGAATTACATTATTCCACCTCTGCCGGTAGAATAATGTCACGAATTCTGACTCTTAAGAATCGACACGACGCTCCTTTTCCAAATTACGTCCTTCTCATACTAGATTATTGTAAAATGGCTTCTTTCGGTATCGTTTGCTTTCTTCCTTCTACTCTACACGCGTTAAAGCTTTTATCTGCTAGAATTCTCCATTATAGACAAAGATATTGGAAATGACTTCTAATGGCTGAACTGTGAATAAAGCGCTTTCTTTCCGCCATTTATAATCCATTGCGGTCCAAAAGTGGTTAGTCGTATTCCACCGAATTCTCTCTCCCGAAATGAAATTATTGACTCGTTGCTGTCAATTCTAATAGGTCCTTTTTGAAAGAATTCCCTCGAAAAAAACACGACAGCGGCTCAGTGTATTTGGAATTTCGGGATGAACGCGTGAAGTCATATTGTAAATGAGACAACCAGCAACAAAGTACATTTAGTGTAAATTCCACTGCTTCCAGACTTTCTAGGAACACCTTGCACGGAATAATGAAGAACAGTTTGAAGAAAATTTGAAACACAGGGATAGACAAAGAAATAACACGCAGTCTTCTTTTTACTTTCTTGCCTTAACAGAGGAAAAGTAAGGCAATCGGTCAAAAAATGACGTCCCAAGATTTTTACATTTTTGGACTCTTCTCGAAACGTCGCGAAATGCAAAATATTCGGGTTTTTTCCCTGTATGTATGTGTGGGAAGCAGGATTTTGTTCACCCCGTTTGAAGCTTAAGTTCTGTGCTTTTTGCCGAAAATTTCTGAAAATTTGCAGGGCGGTTCGTTTATTAGGGGGATCGATGCTGTTAAATTTTGGTAATTAGTCCAGAGATGGGGAGATAAACGGGTGGTGTGTATCTCCAGTAGGGTCGGGCTCAATGACCATTTTGCTTATTATTAGCATTTACAATTTTTATATTACCCATCCCTACCCTCAAAATTAAGCTTTTTGTCATTTTATAATACCTAAAAATATAAAAAGTTTTTAAATAAAATATCGTAACAGATGGCGCCGCCAAATGTTGCCGGGAAAGTTAAAAATAAATCCAGCAACGAATTGCTTAAATTTGATTAGAAGAATGCAACTAACTATCCCACTAACTATAAAATATGCCCGAAATTTCTTGTCCTACTAATCGTTATACTTCTGAAATCACACAATTTGATAAAATTAGGACTTATCACACAGAAAAGTATCCGAGAGCACGCGAAATTAATAACATAAAATTGTCGTTTTGCAGAATGCATTTCGGATCCAGATCCCTATTTTACACCTTTTATAAAAATTAATCTTTTAAACTTGCGCTAGTTTTACCTAGTTTTTAGATTACAATTCATTTTACAACCTTCCTTTGATACCCTACTAGAACCAGTCCTTTACAAGTTTCGTAGTTACAAGTAGGCTCCTCCTCAGCTGTTGACGAAACTTTAGAAACTGACAAAAAGATGCAAGAATTCTAGACTTTAAATGCATTCTGCAAAATGCTAATTCTATTAATTTTGACTGCTAAAGAGCGGATAAATGCTTGTGTGATAAGTCCTAATTTTATCAAATTATGTGATTTAAGTATAACACCACACTGTAATTTATAACGGCTGGAATTATTAATATCGCCAAGGACTTTAACATTTAGTAACCATAGTAACCTAGTATGCTGTTTGCCAATGCTATTGTGCTGTGTGAACTTCCCCAAACCAAGGCTGAGAAGGAACTGGAAGATTGGAGGAAAGTTTTGGAAGAAAGGGGCACGAAGATTAGAAGAACTAAAATGGCTTATATGACTGTATGGTAGAGACGAGTGTAATATTAAAATCCGAAATGTGCCGCTCTCTTTTGTTCCGACTTTTAAATATCTTGGGACGTTTGTGGAGATGGGAGGAGGATTGAACTCGGAAGTGCAGCGTAGAATTCAATTCAATATGGATGGATGAACTGGAGGAAGCTGAGCGGTGTGTTATGCGACAAGAAAGTTAGCTACAATCTTAAAGGAAAATTGTATAAATCGGTTGTTAGACTCTCAATGTTATAAGGAGCCGATATGGGCAATAACAAGAGCCCGAGAAAGAAAGGAGGAGGTGGCGGAGATGAAAATGTTGAGATGGATGCGTGGAGTGTCGAGGAAGAATAGAATAAGGAATGATTTTAGAGGTTCTGTTAAGATGGACCCCTTGAGCAAAAAGATTCAAGAATGCAGGTTGAGGTGGTTTGGCCACGTAGAGCGAAGAAACAACAATTATGCTGGAAGGAAGATAGGAAGACTGGTAGTAAAAGGAAAGAGGAAGACCAAAGATACATTGGAAAGATAAGGTGGAAGAAGACTTGAACCAGAGGGGACTTAAGAGAAAAGTAGCCCTTGATAGGAGAAATGGAAGAAATGCATTAGAGAAGGAAATACCAACCCCATATAAACATGGGAAAAGGTGAAGATAAAGAAGTAACCTAACCTATGTAAATTGAGAACAAATTAGTGAAACAAGAACAGAGCTTCGAGATATTCCCAAAAACTGAAACTCGCTGATTCTAAATGAACAGAGTATAAAATTATTCAATCAACAGATCAATAGGAGAAAAATATCAAGAAGGACTTTCTGTGAGAAATTTGTCTCTAGTTAAGTGTTGCCGTGTGAATAAAACCAAAAAACTCTTCGTGGCCAGCTAATTGTTGGAGCACGAACTGGTGACAAATACATTTTTTCAAAATGCTCTCTGCCCCGTGGTCACTAAAATGGCCTTTAGCGTGTGCATTATAGGTTTGGCCAAGCCGACAATGGGGTGGCTGGGTGGTGAGGGACAGGATCCAATATGTCTAGACAAACCATCCCAAAAAATTTCTCGATTCGATTTACCATTTATGACAGGCACCGGACCGAGTGGTGACCACTAAGACCGGTGCCTGTCATAAATGGTAAATCGAGTGAAATGTTAACAGAATACATTTTAGTGAGTGGATCCTTCGGATGGCCGCTCTGGCAATTTGGGATCGAATCCGGGCAAGCAATTCTAAGAATTTTTCACGGACAGTCTTTCTAGATACGTTGCCTATTATTTTGGACTTTGCTCAACTCGTGATAGGTATAGAAAAAAGATTCTCTTAATGCCCACTAGGAAAAAACAATAAAAATATTCTGCAGCCTGTTAGTTAATCACATACAATTTGAGTCCAGAAGTGAAAAAAAGGCTATCTTGATTTAAACTTCCTTTCATTTTTAAATCTTTCTGTCCTGTATGTTTTTTCCACATCCATAGTGGGTTTGGGCAGGTCCACAATGGGGTATTTAGATGGTGTGGAATGGGACTTGACCACCCTTGAAAAATTTCTGGGTTCTTGCCTGGAGGTCAATTTTGAGTTTCCTTGAGCATCTCGACATAATCTTACCTGAATTATGTTACAAATTATTATGTTAAATAAGAAAATGTAACTTCTTGAATTATGATTTTATCAATAAAAAAAAAATGATCATCATATTTAAGAAGAAAAATAAATTTGCAACTTTTATTTAAAAACAACATATATAATGCATTCAACTAAACATATTACAAATTTCCAAGCAGTATCAACTTAATTCTTATAATTCATAGGAATTTTGTTAGTTTCATGAGATTCATGACACCCTTATTAACAATTCTGCATCATCAATAAACATCAGGTATTTGTTTCTCTCAAATACTTATCAAAGTGATAATTAAAAGTAATTATTAATTAGGAGCAAACTACATAGTAATTGCTTTCATTGTAATACTATTTTTAAATCTTTTATTATTTCAAAATTAGAATAACAAGCTCTCCATTTGAAAACAATTACAAAATAGTTATTAATTATTAAAATACAGTGTAACAATTTACCTTTACATTTTTTGTGGTTATTTTTGAAATGATGGTGCAGAATTTAAAATAAAAAATTATCTGTATTAGCAAATAAAAACTTACTATTAAAAAGGTGAGCATTTATTTTTTTGTATTGAAAATACTCCGCTACAAACTTCTTTTTATGCATGTTGCACAAAATTAAGAGGATGTGCCTAAGTGCATTGGTCAAAACAGTAAGGATTCAGTTACTAATGTATAAAGATGGTGGAATCAATACTGTGTCGATGCTGTGAACCACTCCGTTACTCACAGTGGCATCCGGAAGTGTCACTGTTGCATTATTTATTCTAATCACATCTGTAAAGAAAAGTAATAATTACTAACTAAAAAAATGTATGTCAAATTTAATTATTTACAAATTTTAAAAAATTAAAAAGTCCCAAAAATACTTAAAGTTCTCTTTTAAACTAATGAGTTAAAATAACTCAGTTTTTCCCGACTTATTTATTTATTTTTTATATATTAATTATTTATGTTTTAACCATTCTAAAATAATATTTACAAATTTATGAATTTCAATGGTGGAGTTTCCTGAAAATAATGATCTAATACATGATTTTCCAAAACAATATGTAGATTAATGTATTTAATTTGCATAATATGACAATAATTAAAAGTTGAAACTAATAATTTTGAATAATACAATTCCAGAACTATTTTCGCATCTATTACTGCATAGTGGGTTACGTTATGGAGTGTCTATCTGTCATTTTAAATTGCAATTTGAACTGATGCCTATGTTGTAATGGTTGATCCCACAGGTACAGTGCATATGGTGGTGTGGGTTAAGCAAAGATTTTATCTTCATTCTAGCAGAATATTGGTTTTAATGTATTCTGAAGATTATAATATTACATGCAAACCAATGCCATATGTCATCGGGCTAGATAATGGCTATAATACTAATAAGATATGAAACAATTTGGTGCTAGAGGGAGGCATTAGGCATCATCTCTTAATAAATTTAATAATTATAATTTTTAATTAAATAATTTAGAACTACTGAAAGAAAAGAATCAGCCAAGAGTGGGACTTGAACCCGCAACTCCTGCTTAAGTTACAGTAATTGTTATAAATTAATCTAAATGGATTTGAAAAATAATGTAAATTATTCTTTTTTCTTTTCAGCTTGCATCTTGTTTATTGTTTAACTAACTCTCTTTTTGTTTTATTGTTGATCTTGTTCTAAGTTGCTTGAAAAAGACCTAATGTCTTTTTGAAAATAAAATAAAAAGTAATAAAAATATAATATACATGTGAAAAACAATGATAAGATTGCTATCATATAATTTGTACATGCATATTCCCAGTAGAAGCACTGTACTGTCGAATATGGGACAGCTTCCATGGCAAAAATATTTGAGTTGTGTAAAGCAACCAGATTATACGCATTCATGTATGCACTTTACAGAGCACCAACCTCTGGCGGTTTAGCTGGTGGATGCTACACACCAAAATTTCATGTAATGCTTCCAATGATTCCATCCATCAGCCACTCATAGGGAGCTATTTGACTAAGTGGATTGTTCTAAGATTTTAAAAAGTAAAGAATATTCAATGTTATTTTTATATGCAATTCTTTACAAAGTTATATTTACTTATAATTTTCTTTTAATTAGAATTATATCGACAGATTTTCAGACAAAATCTTTAGAATTTTTATCACTTTTAGACGTTAATAATTTTAAATATTATAAAAAAAATTTTTCCAAAGTGAGTTTTAATTCTTTAAATTAAGTAAATTTTATGGAGAATTTTTTGATTTATCTAAATTACATAGCAAATTGCAATATTTATATTTGTGTCCAGTCTATATTGGCAAGTCACTCTTAGACATAAAAAATATTATAATTAATGACAAACTGAACAAAGATATTAAATCATGATCTTTTTGTACATCATTAATTTTTATGGTACAAGTACCATGTACAAGTGTGTCTGTTGAGTGCAGTTTTTCAACTATGAAGCGAATTGATACATTCGCTAGGAACACTCAGTCGGAAGAAATATTTTCGTCACTAGCATTGCTTTCGATAGAAAAAGAGTTCTTAAATACTTTGATGGAATCGATGACGAGTGATTTTTATGATATGATTTTGCAGAAAAAAATTGCCGAATAGAGTTAGTTTATAAAAAATAATAAAAACAAGTTCTTATATCTTTGTTTTGTGTCAATGTATCTATTTTAGAATTAAAATAAATAAATTGTTTATTTTTGTCATTTCCAGTATTTGTTTAAAATTTTAATGGAAACATAGCTTCCCTATCATCAAATGTCACTGCATGCCACTGCCAGGATTACCACTCTGGTAATCCCTCCCTCATGTTGGCATTGCTGTAAACATTTAAAAAAAAGTAAATAAAGACAACTTAAATTTCATAGTTCTGTTCAATGGACTTAAATAATTAACTTATATAATTATTCTGTAAACATTATTTGATAATTCAATGCTAGAAATCAACTACAATACAGATAAAACTTTTCTTTAAAAAGAATTTAAATACTTCAAAATTTTTCAACAACAAATTATCTAAAAATGCAAAACTGTCAATATGTTTTTCTTTCTGCTTGATATCTTTTACTTATTTTTGTTATATTCATGGCTGTTATAACATATGGAAAGTATGGAGATCAATCAAATTTTGATTCCATCAATTCTTCATTTCTTGATGTTTTGACACTCAAGGAGCTGAAAAATGTAAAAAAAACCTTCACATAATTCCATGTGCATTCCTATTTTGCATTATATCACAGGACTGGATGAACCAAAAATTTTGAAATTCAGCAGTGTTATTTCTATATACAGTATAGGACATAACTGCTATTAAATTTTGTTGGTTAAAGGTCAATAGGGTAGGGCAGCGCTGTCCAACTGGCGGCCCGCGGGCCGTATACGGCCCGCCAAATAACTTTTACGGCCCGCGAGTACATTTTACTATGAATAAATTTGTGTTACTATTATTATTATTAATATTAAAATTATTTTACTACTGTGTTTCCCCGAAAATAAGTGTGTCATATTAATTTTTGCTCTGAAAAATGCTCTAGGTCTTATTTTCAGGGAATGTCTTATTTTTTCCAGGAAGAAGAATTCACATTTATTATTGAACAAAAAAAAGTCGAACTTAGACGAGAGTGACGTATATCCGGTGTGTCGAACTGTCGCCTTTTTATAGCGTCAACATCGGACTCGCTGACCAATTAGTGCTTACTGAACCGTAGCACTATGCAAATGTCGTGTGGTTTATCAACCTTCTTGGCCCCCGAAATGTTTGGTGAAGAAAATATGGCCCGTGGACTATAATAAGTTGGACAGCGCTGGGGTAGGGGATCATAGATAGGGGTTATATGTCACATCTCAAGTGGGATCAGACTTAATAAAAATTTTACTCATTACTGAAATTTATATTTTTAAAACTCATCTCTACTCTCAAAATTAAACCCTTTCTTTTTTATAATAATTAATAATATAAAAATTACTTTTTAATAAAATCTCATATCATCATATGAAATTTTAACTTGCAATTCTAATGTGACTTAGGATTTTTTTAAATAGAGATTTTTATTATAAAATTAAAAAAAAAATTACTCCTTTAAGCTTTTGTTATTTAAATTTTATATTGCAGTATAATTGAAAATTATTGGACTTTGAGGAAGAGTCCTTGCCAGTTTAAATGTTCTCTTAATCTTCAGTTAACCACCACACAGTGTGTGACAAATGCTACAATGACTATTTTATCTGCAATCTTAAATTATGCAAGTACAAGCAATTCTCCATTTAAATATTTTATCATTCTAAGAAAGATCTATAATGGTATTAACTGAATGTATCAGATCTAAATCATCTTTATAAAGTACATAGATTAATTTTCCATTGATATTGGACCCACCAGTGGCTGAGTGGATAAAACCACTGAACACTGGTTGTGAATTCATGCCCTGCTAATGGCTGGCCATGTAAAGTTTTTTTCATGCCACTTAGCTATTTACATTAGAATTTTGGTTCTTTGATATAGTCAGTATCTTTCTGTACTCACAAAGAAATTTAAAAAATTTTTTGTTTTGCAGTAGTCATTAATTATAATTTGAAAAAGAAAATTATATACAGGCAGAGTCTACAGATGCACAGAAAATTTAAAAGTACTGTTATATTCTAATGCTTTATGATTCATTTAACAAGAGACCTCCAAATCCACACACACAAATGACATTTTAAGATGGCATTGGATGCATTTGTTTCTGAGAAAAATGAAACTGAGACTCATTGTTGTGCCTGGTCCTCAAGTACAAAAAAGGCATGAAAAAATAATGGCATATCTTCATACATAAGTAGCATACATCATATCATCTGCACCATGGTGATGTGATAACACTTGTGACTTTATTTGTGTAATATTTGTGGTTCAAAACACAAATTAATTTTTCTAATATTTTCTGAATTTTTGTTGTATTAGGTTGTTGGTGTTTTACCAATTTGGAGAATTTTGTTATGTTTTCACTGTAAAAACTGCACCTTCCTAAAAGACATGTAATATTCATAAAGTTTGTTTAATTTGATTGCAGTTAGGTTACACACAATTTTCTAAATTATAGTTCTCCAGTGTTATCTGTTTATGTCAAGCACCAATACTTTATGATCCTAACTTTCAAGTACAGCCAAACCTTGAATTTTTAACTTAATTCATTCCTAAAAGTTGTTTGAAATAAAGCAAATTTTCCCATAAGAAACAAATAAAATGGATTAATCAGTTCTCAACCCCAAAACAAAACTTTTTTCATGCATAAAAATGTCTACAAATGCAATATAATATATATAAGTTCAAAATCAATAATTTACATACTTTGTAATTTTAAAGTCACGTAACTTCCTTGTAAAGTCTTCAACTTGAGTCCATCTTGAAATCCTGGACTATACCATACTTGGGGAATTATATGATATAATATAACTTCTATGGATAATAAAAATATTTTTATTAAAAAGTGATAGAAATTGTGCACAAAATTAAATATTTTGAGATAATTAATAATGAAAGAAATTATGTTATTTATATNCAGATATTTATCAGCTTTCAAGATAAAGGTTGAAGTAGTAGTGTCTACAAATATCAATTGAAGTGTGGATTGATGTAGAGAGAACTAAAGACATGGCATATTGAATGAAATGAAAGAATACAATATAATATAAAAGCTTTGAAACAGCAAATGTTGGTTAGAATCCAAAGCTTTTATCTATTCTGTATTTTACCTGCAAGGTGTGACAATTTAATTTCAGGACTGGTTGTGTAGTGCTGCAGTG